ATATATATATATATATATATATATATATATATATATATATATATATATACGTATATATTGTATAAAAGTTAAAGGCTTATTATACTTTTGATGATTCAAAATTATAATTAAAATAAATATTATATTATTCAAATTTTAAATAAAATATAAAATGAGAAAACTAATCAAATATTGCAGTAGAAATTACATACAAAAAGAGGGGGATAAAGTTAATGTTAGGATATTTATACTATGAACTAATTAAAAAAATAGAAGATAAGTAAATAACGCCAAAAATAGATAATTTTTTCAAATTATCCGCGCATCGCGCGGGTTTTAACTCTAGTTATATTAAAAGGAGAGTAGTGAAGCATGTGGTTAAGCCAAGTGGCAAGCTAAAATGAAGCCACTTGGCAATTTTAAGACAACATTAAAAATTTAAATTATAAATGGGAACATATTTAATGGAAGTAGTAGTCCAAAATTTTCTATAGGTATCTTTAATTAAATTTGTGTATAATTCAGCTATGGTAGGTATCCTTTTTTGAGCAAGAATCCATTAAAATTTCGTTGAAAATCTAACACACTAATTTTGAGTTGAAATAATAATTCTTTATTTAGTATAAGTTTTGTATCTAACCTTATTTGTGAACAATATACATTATTATAGGTATCTTTAATTAAATTTTGTGTATAATTCAGTTATAGTAGGTATTCTTTTTAAAAAAAAATAATTAAATAAACATTTTGTATCTACATCTATATTTTATTAAAGGAAGTGGGAAGAGAATCTTTAGTTTGGTCCAAATATGAAGCCTAAAGTTCAGCCATTACAACGCAAGTGGGAAGAGAATCTTTAGTTTGCTCCAAATATGAAGCCTAAAATTCAGCCATTAAAAATAGTATTGATAAATTTAAATAACTTAAGAATTCAAGAAATATTTTTAAAATAAAATAGATATTTATTTTTAAATTAAAAAATTTCTAGATTTATTTATATTATATTAAAGGATAGTAATGGATAATAATACTAAATAAAGTGGCACCAAAAATTAAAGTCTTACTAGATATAGAAATAAAATTTAAAAATATAGAATAAACATCTAATATAAGTAATTTGATTAACTAAAATTAAAAGTCAAATTTTGTATCTTGAAACTAAAAGAGAGTTTTTTTTTATTGCATGTAATATAAAAAATAAATATAAGAAAACTTAATAGATTTAGAATATAATAATCAAAGAACTTATATATTAATATTTTATACTAATTAAAGTTACAACTTAAAGTCAAATATGATATTATTTTGATTACAGGTAAAATATTAATTAAAAATTTCTTAGTAGGGAAGAAACTGTATAAAGAAAAAAATAAATATAATATGAGAATATTTATACTTTAAATTAATTAAAAATAAAATAAGTAAATAATTGAATAATATTCAAAAATATTATTTATAGATTTAAATAGTAAAATAGTTTCAAGTAAGAGGATAAAAGCGTAAAATATATTAAATTTCAAGAATAAAAAAATAATATTTATCAATAATTATTAAAAGGATAATAAGCAAAATATTAAGTCAATTAGTAAGCCGATAAAATCATATGAAAGTATAATAATGTTAAATAATAAATAATATAATAATATATAAGTAAAGAAAAAAAATTGTGTAAAATTTAAAAGAATAAGACTTATTTAAGCTTGAGATAAAAATTAACTAATACTGAGAATTTTATTAAAATAATATAATTTAATATGTTCAAACGAGAAAAATCACCACATGACATAGTTAGTAATTTTTAATATTGATAACGAAACGAAATTCAAGTACTAAAATTAACCTAATTAGATTATATAAATGTAAAAAAGAAAACAGGTTATCCACTATGAGATTTGCGAAATGATTTCATGTCTTGCTTCTTAATTAATATCTAATGATTATCTATAAATTTTATTTGGAAGGTTTATAATTTAAAGTTATTTATACATAATTTAAATAATCCAAATNAAATTTCAAGAATAAAAAAATAATAGTTATCAATAATTATTAAAAGGATAATAAGCAAAATATTAAGTCAATTAGTAAGCCGATAAAATCATATGAAAGTATAATAATGTTAAATAATAAATAATATAATAATATAATAATTATAAGTAAAGAAAAAAAATTGTGTAAAATTTAAAAGAATAAGACTTATTTAAAATTTAAGGTATTGAGTTCTCATAACGAGCTAGTTTTCTCTCTCATGCTCTCGGCGTAAGTTAGACAAACCTGCGCCAGTGTGAAAATGGCAGGAGTGAGAGGCAGAGGTGGTGGCCAAGGACGAGGACGAGGCCGACCACGGAAAATTCAAATCAACAACTTTGAGCTGGAAGAAAAAAATGATGAAGAATCAAAGGAGGATAACGAATCTGAGGCACAATTGACACATGCAAACAAAGGATCGGGAGCTAGAAACCAAATCGAAGAAGCAGAAGGATCTCTATTGAGATCTGAGCTGACTATGAAGGAACGAGAGGTAGAAAAAGAGGAAATTAAAAATAACGAGAGCAGATCGCAAAAGGAAATCAATGGAACAGTAACAGTGATAGAGGAAAGCAAGGAAGAAGACGAGGAGGAGAGCAGACCAGCATGGACAAGCTTATTTGCGAGGAATAGAGCAGCTAAAAACGGTATGAAACTAACTTACATACCTCCACAAGTGATAGATGGTGAAATTAGAGTTCAGTTAGAGAAAGAGGAAGTAGATAGAGAAACAGAAAAATGGAAAAGGGCTTTGATTACGTATGTGCTGGGTGATTTACCTGGGTATAATGTAATAAAGAGATATATAGAGATCCAGAATTATACTTGCATGATGATGGTTATTATATAATTAAATTTAAAACGATGGAAGATATGAAGGAAATCCTATTAGCAGGGCCATATACTATCAGTAACAGACCAGTGATTCTTAAACAATGGACAACAGACTTTGATTTTGAGAAGGAATTTCCTACAGAGATTCCTCTATGGGTTAGATTTCCAAAACTTCCATTGAACTGTTGGGGAAAGAACTCATTACGTAGGATTGCAAGCTCTATAGGTACTCCTATGTATGCTGATGAATGTACTGCCAAACAAATGAGAGTTTCCTATGCTAGAATGTTAATTGAGGTAGATGTGACAAAGCCTCTAAAAGAAGAGATAAGGGTGGAGGATCCAAATGGGAAAACATTTCTACAATCCATTATCTATGACTGGAAACCAAAATTCTGTGAAAAATGTCAAACCATTGGGCATGACTGTAAACAGGAAAGAGGGAGGCAGATTCAAATGAATAAAAGAATGAACAGAGAAAACCAAAGAGAGTAGTCCAACAATGGGTTACAAAGGAGAAAGGGAAGATGAGAGAGGTTGAACAAGAAAATGCTGTAGTGCAAGAAGTGATACAACAACAAGATAGCAGCAGAATGATGGAAGTAGGACAAGGGTCAAAGGAAGCTGAGAAGCAGAAATCAATAAGAAGGGAAGAACAAATGCCAGGGAATGCAAGGAAAGAGGTGGAAATACCAGAGTTCAATGAGCTTCATTTTCCAATGCTGGGATCAGTACCATTGAAGAATGGCTTTCAAATACTGAGTAGAGAGGGGAAAAGAGCACACACAGTACCTCCATATATAGGAGGTAATGGAAGAAGATCCTTATGAACTGGTTAGTATGGAATATAAGGGGAGTAAATAAAAGATATAAGCAGAAAGAACTGAAGAAACTCCTCAATACAGAAAATATTGGGATAGCTGGTATAGTGGAAACAAGAGTAAAAGAAGGCAAAGCAGGAACTATAATAAATAATATAGCTACAGGGTGGAGCAGTAGGACAATTATGCATCAGCCAATAATGGAAGGATATGGATAGTGTGGGATAATAATAGTTACCAGGTTACTAAGATAAAGGAAAATGCCCAAATGATACACTTTGAAGTCATAGAGAATACTGGAAAGGTGGATTGTATGATGTCCATAATTTATGGATTTAATACAACTGAACTAAGAAAAGGATTATGGGAAGAACTAAAAACACTAGCTCAAGGTATCAACAAACCTTGGATAGTGATAAGAGACTTTAATGCAGTTATGTATGGTGCAGATAGAGATCAAGGTAACCCAATCCAACAGACTGAGGTACAAGATTTTGTGGATTGTATGCGGGCAACTAACCTGAATGAACTGCTATGGAAGGGGGATTATTATACATGGAGTAACAAACAAAGAAGGGAAGACTGAATACAAAGCATGATTGATAGAACTTTTGGGAACTTTGAATGGATGATGCAATGGGGCAATGTAACAGTAGAATATGAGCTGCCAGGGATTTCTGATCATGCACCAATGTATCTGAGACTAGGAGTGGATCAAACTAACATCAGAAGCCCATTTAGATTCTTTGATGTTTGGGCAGAGCACAAAGACTTTACAAGGCTAGTTGAAGAAGTGTGGCAACAAAGACAAGATCCTTGGACAATGAGAGATATATGGAGGAAACTGAAGAGACTGAGAACTAAATTGAAGACACTGAATAACAGAGGATTTAGAAATGCTGAACAAAAAATGGCAGAAGCAAGGGAAGAAATTCAGAAAGTACAAAGCCAAATGCAGAAGCAGTTTGATGATGAATTGCAAGCTAAAGAAAGGGATGCACTGCAGAGATTAGAAAAGTGGTCAATGATAGAAGAAAGCATCATGAAGCAGAAATCCAGAGATAAGTGGATAAAACTAGGGGATGCTAATACCAAATACTTCTCAGCAGTAGTGAAAGAAAGAAGGCACAGGAAACAAATAAAAGAACTGATGGGAGTTGATGGCAATATAATAAACAAACAAGATAGGATTCAAGAAGAAATAGTGAGATTCTATAAAGGCCTTATGGGCACAGCAGCTGAAAAACTCACAGCAGTTGATAGAACAGTAATGAAGAAGGGGCCTGTACTGAACAAAGAGCAGAGAAGGATGTTGAATTCAGAAGTAACCAACCAGGAAGTGTATGAAGGGCTAAAAGGCATAGGTGATGATAAGGCACCAGGGATAGATGGATACAATGCTGTATTTTTTAAGAAGGCATGGCATGTTATAGGGGATGAGGTGACTAAGGCAGTGCAGGAGTTCTTCAACACAGGGAGAATGTATAGAGCTATTAATTGTACAGCTATAACTTTGATACCAAAGACAGATAATCCAGCAACAATTAAAGAATATAGGCCAATAGCATGTTGCACAGTGTTGTACAAGGTGATCTCCAAGATATTGGTAGCTAGAATGCAGAAGATACTAGGAGCAATCATATGTGAAGCACAAGCTGGATTTGTACCAGGAAGAAGAATAGGAGATAACATCATTATGGCACATGAATTAGTTAAAGGTTACACAAGAAAGCACATATCTCCAAGGTGCATGATTAAAATTGACTTACAAAAAGCCTATGACTCAGTTGAATGGAGCTATTTGGAGCAGATTATGAGACTAATGGGGTTCCCTGAAAGATACACAGCTTGGGTGATGGAATGTGTGAAGACAATAAACTATACAATCATAGTAAATGGGGAGCCAACAGAACCATTTGATGCCAAGAAGGGATTGAGACAAGGGGATCCAATATCCCCATTTTTATTTGCAATAGCAATGGAGTACCTAAGCAGATCATTGAAGGAAATGACACAAACCAGGTAGTACAAACATCATCCCAGATGTGCCAAATTATCACTAACTCATTTATGTTTTGCAGATGATCTCTTAATTTTTTCTAAGGGAGAAGCAGAATCAGTTAAAGCAGTAATGAAATGCTTCAATCAATTTTCAACAGCTTCTGGGTTACAAGCAAATAAGGGAAAAGTTCAATTTACTTGGTAGGAATGGGACAACAAGAACAAGAACAGATACTGCAGGAATCAGGATTTACAAGAGGTGAACTGCCATTTAAGTACTTAGGAGTGCCACTCTCAACTAGGAAGCTGACAATGATACAATGGAAACCAATCATTGACAAAATTGTGGCAAAAATTACTTCATGGACAGCAAGAAAATTGTCATATGCAGGAAGGAGTCAATTGATAAACAGTGTCTTATTTGGAGTTCAATCATACTGGGCTCAAGTGTTCATCTTACCAGCAAAAGTAATGAAAGCAGTGGAAAGCTTCTGCAGAAGCTATCTTTGGACTGGAAACAATACTATTTCAAAAAAATCATTGATCAGTTGGGATAGGGTATGCAGCCCAAAAAGCAGTGGTGGATGGAATATCATAAATATGAAGCTGTGGAATAAAGCTGCCATAGGCAAGCTTTACTGGAATGTGGCACAGAAGGAAGATAGAATGTGGATAAAGTGGATACATGCATACTATATAAAAGGGCAGCAGATGGAACAAGTTAAAGTACCAACACAGGCAAGTTGGATGGTGAGGAAAATACTTGAAGCAAGGCATATCATAGAAAAAAACAATGTGCAGATAAGTAAGGGAAAGGGGATCATAAAGCAGATATACCTGAAGCTGTTGGAAGATCAACCTAGAGTCATGTGGAAATGTCTGATGTTTGGCAATGCTGCAAGGCCAAAAGCAAAGTTCACTTTGTGGTTACAACTGCAGAACAGACTACTTACAGTGGAAAGGTTAAAGAAATGGGGGATTCAGGGAGAAGACAAATGCAGCTTATGCCAGGGACAAGAAGAAACAAGAGATCACATTTATGTAGAGTGTAGCTACACAAGGGAGGTACTAAAGAGAGTGATGCACTGGCCACAGAAACTAAGCCTAACAGGAACTAACTGGGAGCAACATGTGCAAGAAGTGATTAGAAGAGCTAAAGGGAGATCAAGAGAAGCATAACTATTCAAAATGCTATACACAGAAATGGTACATAATACATGGATAGAGAGAAATCAGAGAATTTTTGAAAACAAAAATAAGAGCTGGGAGAAGATAGCTAAGGATACAGTGTATGTTTGTTGCGCACGAGCTCCTCCTAGTATAGCTGAATTAGTGCAGGGATATAGATTTTAAAAGCTAGATAGGAAGAGCATGAGATTGTAATGTACATATGATAGTTATGCTGTGATAGCTAACTATGGAGCTTTGTAAATATTACTGGTGATTAATATAAAGGTTAATTACCAAAAAGAAAATATATTACAATTTGGTTAGTTAGTTAAAGTGGAGTTAGAATACATTGATAGGACACGTGACTATTAGGTGTCCAGCTAAGAAGCACTCTGTATAAAAGGAAGGTCTTCTTCCTTATTTGCATAACAGAAAAATATCACACAAATTCTCTCTAAAACATTCTACTGTTACATTGCTTACGATGGCTTCCTCTCTATTATTGAGAAGAAAAAAAAAGTTATTGGTGAAAGTTAATAATAATAATAATGATATTCTACAATTTTACTCTTGAAAAAAATTATTATGTTTTATCAATTTATTAATCTTCGAGTAATATTAACTTTTATTTTATAATTCAAATATGATATTTAATGTATTATTTATTTAAAAAAATTACTGAGATATTATACACGCGCTTTAGTAGATTTAAAAATCCAACACTATTGATTTTATATGGTAATTGAAAAATTCGAAATTTACTAGCCTTATGTTTGGGTGAGGAAGAGTGTAAAGCACGAAGGATGATGTCGTGCCGCTTGATGTAGCATTCCGTGCTGATTATATTGATTCTTATGGTGAGGTTGAGAGTAAAAGCACGAAGGGTGATGCCGGGCAACTTATATTGATTTTTATGGTGAGGATGAGAGTAAAAGCACGAAGGGTGATGCCGTGCAATTGTTTGATTTCTGATTCTTGTTGACAGTTGAGTTGTGGTGTTTCCCTATATTTACATGCTATCCTCCTGTTGTCATTTGATATTTCCCCGCAGCATGTTTCCCCCTCCCATCCTTGACTATACATTTCTGCTTTTATTTTTCGCTGTACATTATATATCTGCACATGTTTATTTTTGGTAGTCTGTTCCTAGCCTCGTCACTACTTCGCCGAGGTTAGGCTAGGCACTTACCAGCACATGGGGTCGGTTGTGCTGATACTACACTCTGCACTCTTTTGTGCAGATCCCAGTGCTGTAGATTTCAGACCGCAGTGAGATTTCCGTTCCTTGATCATCAGGCGACCCGAGGTAGTCCTGCAGGCGTCCGCAGGCCTTGGCGTCTCCCTCTATCTACTTTCCTGTTTCTTTTATGTAATCCCAGAGACAGTATTTTGATGTTTCTTTCAGACCCTTATTTGTAGTACTCTTAGACAGTCTGTGAAGTGTGACACCAATCTTGGGTTGATTTGTTATGGAATTGTATTAGCAGTGTTATTAAACTTGAAATTTACTTCCGCTTGTTAAATTTTGTTGATTATAAATTGTTGGCTTATAACTGCTAACGATTTTTAAAAATGGAAACAAGGCAAATAATTCAGTTGGTTGGCTTGCCTAGCTTTCACTAGTAGGCGCCATCACGACTCCCGAGGGTGGAAAATTCGGATCGTGACAAGTTGGTATCAGAGCTCTAGGTTACATAGGTCTCACAGTTCACAGACAAGCTTAGTAGAGTCTGAGGGATCGGTACGGAGACGTCTGTATTTATCCCCCAGAGGCTACAGAGTTAGGAAAAACTTCACATCTATTCTTTCATGTCGTGCGGTTTGGTTTCTCAATGCTAATTGAATTTCTACTCTGTTCTTCCGCGAATGGCGAGGTCACGTACCGCTTCTTCAGCCGAACAGCATCACAGACCAGTGATAGATCAACTACGTCTTCGGAGGCTTTGCGAAGGTTGGATAGGTTTCACCAAGCTCTTCACTACCACTTTTAGCGGTACATCTTCTGAGGATCCCCAGGATTATTTAGGCAGCTGTCATGAGGTTCTCAAGAACATGGGGATAGTGGAGACCAATGGGGTCGACTTTGCTACTTTTCGCTTATCTGAATCCGCCAAGACTTGGTGGAGGGATTGTTGTTTGGCTAGACCGGTTGGATCACCAGCTTTGACTTGGGACCAGTTTTCTCAGCTATTTCTGGAGAAGTTTGTTCCTATCACTCAGAGAGAGATCTATCGGAGGCTGTTTAAGCGTCTCCAGCAGGGTTCTATGACTGTTACTCAGTACGAGATCAGATTTATTGACTTGGCCCGTCATGCTCTTCTTATACATCCCACTGAGAGAGAGAGAGAGAGAGAGAGAGAGAGTGAGGAGGTTCATTGAGGGACTCATTCAGCCTATTCGACTCATTCATCCTTCGTGCTTTACCCTCTTCCTCACCCAAACATAAGGTTAGTAAATTTCGAATTTTTCAATTACCATATAAAATCAATAGTGTTGGATTTTTAAATCAACTAAAGCGCGTGTATAATATCTCAGTAATTTTTTTAAATAAATAATACGTTAAATATCATATTTGAATTATAAAATAAAAGTTAATATTACTCGAACAGGATTAACAAATTGATAAAACATAATAATTTTTTATCCAGGTTCATCCTTAACTAGAGCTCTCAGGTCGAGAACCTGGATATGGAATCGCCTTTGTTAGGGAGCGCGTTAATTCCCAATGTGGGATACGAATCCGAATCTAGTCGGACCCTAATGTGGGTGCCGAACACCGAATGAAAACCAAAAAAAAATTTAGACTATGTACACCCATATTCATATTATTTTTTTCTTTCTTTTTTCCCCTCGAATACCTACCACGTGTTTCTACTTTGTACAGTTCTCTCTTCTCTTTTCGATTTCTAGATTTCTCGTGGACAGAAGTATATTTCTAGAACTCTCCTGACTATCCGCGAATCATCTATTTATTTATAATTGCTGATTGTTTAACCAGAATAATCATTTGAAAAATTGCCCAAACAGACCTTAATTCACCGATCGGAACTCCTCTCTGTGTTAACTACGTCCACCGGTCATTGCTATGTCGACGGTGACATCAACGCCGGCCGCAGCCGCTTATTCTTCGCAATACAATTACTTAAACGGCACATACTTTCCGACGCCGTTTCATCTCCAACAACAACCATCTCAGCCCTACATTGGCCCTGCTCCTCCTGTCTATTCTGCTCCGGCGTCTGTTCCCGGCGTTTACACTTTACCTCAATATCAACAAGTAAGAATTCCGACGAGTTGGAGCTTTTGTTTTAGAGTTTTTTTTCTCATTAATAATTACTTCATTTTCAATTTGTACATTTCGGCTGTGGAATTTGCTTTTGATGAACTGACTCGGATTTTGATAGGGAGGGAAAAAACATATTTTATTTATTAGTGGCTCGGCTCGTATGTAAGAACCTTAAATGTGATCATATGTGTACACATGAATATACAAAGATAAATGACTTATGTGCACGCACACACAGATCCATGCATGCCTAAATGTGCATGTTATGATATGTTTACGCAGAGTTATAGTTCTATAGACCGATAGTGTAACTGTATGTGACTTTTTTCAGTATTGGTTGTTAACCTAAAATAAATGGTAAGTGAGGCGGGGGTGAAGCTACCCTTGTCCAGGGGGAGTCAATTGACATCCCTTCACCGCAAAATTACACCGTATGGATGTATCAATTTTTTTTAATGTATATATACAATATGTTGACCATGACATGACCGGAGCCCATTTATGGGAATACACTGGGTTCGTTGTTGTTGTTGTGGTGGTGACATGACCGGAGCTTAAATGAAAAGTGAGGAGTGATATAGCCGATCCCAACTTATTTGGGACTGAGGCGTAGTAGTCGTTATAAACTATACGTGAGTCACTTTGGCTTCTTCGTGTGTTTACTTTTTATATTTGAATTCTCTTAGCAAATATTTTGGCTCCGCCACTAATAGTAGGTTAAATTAGATTGAGAGTATAAAAATTATTTACAGAGTAGCTGTGTATAACTTTCAAATTCTTAAAAGAATTGCATGTTTCTTAGTTCTTGCTTCCCATTAACAAGCAAATGGAAAAGAAACTTCTTAAAAGTATTTGAAGTAGAGCCTCTCTGCATCTTTATCGATGTTGTTTAAGCTTGGAATTTATTAAAAAAGAAGATTTATTTGATAATGTTACTAATGTGCCTAATTGTTGTGGATGTATAGGCGCAGCAATTATTTCAAAGAGTTGCACAAACTATCACGCCCGAAGCAATTGAGAATGTGAAAGCTGCACTCGCGAAGAGTGAGATTGAGCAAAAAGCTGAGGCCAAAAAGAAAGCTGTGCCTCGAAAGGCAGCAGGGCAGACTTGGGAAGATCCTACCCTTGCAGACTGGCCAGAGAGTAAGCTCATGCCCCATTTAATTTTTTCTTCTGATTTGGTTTTGCGTCGAATAGTTGATTCTATTTAGTTTATTCTTTTGATGCTCTGTGGTTGATCCAGTTTGTTCTCCTCCATGAATTGAATTGGGTACAACCTTGTTTGAAGGGTCCTGGCAGTGTTTATAGAAAATGTCACGGTTGTGATGTTCTTGATAACCATGCAATCGTAGGGTCTAGAATTTAGGGAAGCAGTGATGAATGTCGAATTATTTAGCCGCCATGCAATTGTGGGAGTTGGAAGTTAAGGAAGTGTGAAGTAGTCACCTGTGCAATCATTTAGCAAATAAAAATTATTTCATCTTGTACTTCGGTTCAAATTTCCTTGAGAACTGGATATATTTGGAGATTAGTGGCACAATATTTGGATTAATGGGAGATGCTTTTCGAAAGATCAAAATTTATGCGATTTAACAGAATTGAGGATTGAAAAGTTTTTTGCCACATACTGCAAGTGTTTGGAAACTGGAAAGTGGGAAGGACTGGGGTGTATGAGGTCCTCGAATAATGCGACCATGTTACCCCCCCCCCCAAAAAAAAAAAAAAAAACCCAACAGAAAAAAGGTAAAGCTTTCATTTTGCTCGGCGAGGAATTTATGATAGTCTTTTTGTTTGCTCGAAAATTTTTGGTTGAAGGAAGTGAAGGTCTTCTTTGTAAGCTAATGTATCAGTCTATGTAACACCTATCATGGCTATCACCTTCATGTTATGTTTCCTCTTTTTGCATTTGGGAAAGGCGGGGGTAGTTAGAGCTGGTTTAAAGCAAAACAATTTGCCATAATGAATATAAATGGTCAGATAAATGTGTTGAATTAGTTTGTGCTTGATAAGTTTTTGGTACTCTGTTTCTAGTCTTTCTGAATATTTTTGGTCCCCCCCCCCCCCCCCCCCCCCCTGTGCTGGTGGGGGTTGGAAAAAGGATTTGAGGAGTCCTAGATTGTTGGTTAATATATCTTGTGTGTTTTGAGTATTATGCTATACTGCTCCTATTTAACATGAGCTACTGTCCTGCAAGTGGTTATGTCCAACTTTGATATGATTTTCTTATTTCTTCATCTTTTGCTATACTTGACTCTTGGTTTTTTCTGTAAGATGAGTGGTAATTCTATTACAGTTGAATGATTAAGTTGGCTATTGGGATCTTGCAGATGATTACCGTATATTCTGTGGTAACCTTGGGAATGAGGTGAATGATGATGTTTTATCAAAAGCATTTTCAAGATTTCCTTCATTTAACATGGCCAGGGTAAGTTGTCTTGAAGCACTCATGTTTTCTCTGTACTTTTAATTTTAATTGTCATAGATGAACTTGTGTTCTGTCATGAAGGAGCTGGGGTCGTTGTCTCTAGAGCTATACTTTCTTTTATATCTTATATTTCCTTATCCTAAACATTTATGAAGTTGGGGAAAGCAGTTATATTAAAAGAAAAAATGAGAAGATTTTGGGAAAGCCTAGGCATTCTTCAATATGTGCTGCTATACGGGAAAAAAGCGTTTGTTGGACTCTTGGGTGGAGGAGGCTCAATTAACTATTTAGAGATCAACATTTATTCTGCATACAGATTATTCTTAAGAGCGTTCTCTTTATGTATCAGTGCCTCTGGTGCAAAGTCCAATAGCTTTTAAAGGTTGAAAGATAAAAAAGAAGCGGGTAGTGTTACTGAAATATGTGATGAAGAAAGGAACCAAACCTATATTGCTTGTCGTGTACGTATAAAGTGACTTTCTCTTTCAAAAAAGAAATTTTGTGACTGTCTCTTTTTCTGTTTTTCGTGTAAACTGGTGTATTCACAGTTGCTGTCATGTCCATGACACATGTATATTTGCACTAAATTAAGTGTACTGTCAGCTTTTGAATGTCTAAAATGGCGAGTTATCTAGGTTGGTGAGCATCCACAAGGAGATTGTATTGGTGGTGATCTATGTCCCAAGCACTTGGGTATAAACAATTGTGGATCTATGGTATGTTCAATTCTTAGAATATCTTGAAGGATATGAGACCCCACCTTGATTTCCAATTTAAATGTCAGCTCCAGATTTGGAACTGTCCATTGGACTGATTCTGTTATAACTACTGCGGGCCCCGTGACTATCTATTCATTGGATTTGCTCAAAAGCAAAGAGTTTATACCCATATTTCTTTTCAAGACGCTAAACATCAGATGAATAGTCAGTGGAGTGTAGGTGGTGATGTCTTACTTCTTCCCTTCAACATATCATGTTAAACTTAATTTGTTACTGCCTTAAGCATGCCACTGTAGTGAAGGTTATGTTTCGCGCATCATTGTGCTGAAGTTGTAGTTTCTCCGTCCCCATGCTTGCCTTGAATAAGAAGAGAAAAGGTATTTATGTAGGATGCAAATGGGAAAGAAGCGATGATCTTGTTTTTATTATTATGTATTTGACGCTGACGTATGCTTACTAGTTTGGGCCTAGCTTATGTATTATTAATAGTTTTATAAGTTGCTTCTAGGTTTAAAGATATCTTGTCAAATTCATTGAATCAAGGGTATTTTGTGCTTCTTCAAACTTTTCTTTTTATAGGGCTTAGATAAATTCTTTTTTAGTGCTAGCCTAGCTTTACTTTGGTCCTAGTTGTCTTAAAAGTCAACTTCTAGAGTTTTGTTAGGTGAATTGCATGCAAATATAGATATATTCACAATTGTAATTTGACCTCTATGGTGTTTGTTACTCGATGAAGTTGCTGTTGCTTCTTTGGTACTTTGTTCGAAGGGAGGGGGGTTCTTATTCCTAGTATTCAACATGATATTCCCAGACTCTCTTCTTCATCTTACATATTCATGTCAATGTCCACCGGGCTCCAAAATAGCCTTCCTTTCCAACTTTGCTGTATTATGCTTGGATGTCATGACCTTCTCTCTTCTTCTTATATTCATGTCACAATTCATCTGGCTCCAATTACCCTTCTCTTCTGACTTTGCTTTATTATGCTTTGAAGCGATAGCAATACATGGCGGCTGCCGATCCCTCAAGTCCAGTCACTCTTCTAAAATACTCAGCTACACAATCCTATAATGCAACCTTGAATTGGTTATTCTGCCACATCTAGAGAGATCCCTTTTCTTTTCTGCTTTTGTTGTGTAGTGCTTTATTATCTACTTTTGATTACTGTAACTTAAAGTTCCTGTAAAACTTACGGGTTTCTACATTGTAATGATGACAGGTTGTGAGAGACAAGCGGACTGGTAAGACCAAGGGCTATGGGTTTGTAAGTTTCTCCAACCCTTCGGACCTTGTCACAGCACTTAAAGAAACGAATGGTAAGTGGTCGTTTCATGTATATGCAGGCATAGTTTCTTATTTTGCTTCTGCTACGAGCATATTCATTCTCTTAAGTGGCACACCTTAGTGTAAGGGTCTTTGACTGTTGGATGGTTAGCTTTTTCCTTTTGTAAATCACCAGACCGGAATGGTATAGGAAGAAAACTTTCATTTGGATCTGACATTTTCCTTGTTATGCCGTTCGTTGATGCTTTATATGGGTTTCTTTCTTTCCCTTGTTTGATGTCATAAGGTCTAAGGATTTGCCTTGCTTGGGAGAGTGTGTTATCTCGACCCTCTTCCCCCCAGCGCCAGAAGACTAGCTGGATGATCCAGCAGCACAACAACTAGAAGGATGGTGCTTTTGAAATCGAGTTAGGTAAAGGAAAAATGAGATACGGATACTTCAGCGAAAGGAGCAGTGTGGCTCCTCTTAGGCTTTGCAAAATGAAGACTAGTCACTGCGATATCATATTTTTACTTGAATTCCGGAGTTGACAAGGTACAATAATTTCAGGGAAATATGTTGGAAACCGACCAGTTCAACTTCGGAAGAGTAAGTGGCAAGACAGGATTGATTATGAAGCTTTGGAAAAACAAAAGGTAATCGTGCTTTCTAAATGATCAGGCCCGCATATGATTTCACATTCTAAAGTGGACATTTCACTATATATTTCTTGTTGAATGTTTTGGCAGAATGTGTCTCCGAAGAAACCAAAGTTACCAAAGAAGAGTGTATTGCACAAGTGAGCGTCAAATCATATGATTGTGGATCAGTGTAAGATATTGTTGATCTATATCTATGGCCATTTGGGAAAGGAGGAAAAAGTGGCAAAGTCATTGATAGAGATGCTCCTATTCAACTTATGTAGTGCTTTATGCTTCAGTTGATGATAGTTATTTTCTCCTGCCTTTTATGGCCGTTAGAGCTCGGACTTCCTCGGCAATAATAGATTGTCAAATGGAAGCCTAACTGTGTGAGATATTTGATTGTATTCATAAATCAGTCTAATTGAACAAACGATGAAAACTTGCTCCCGTTGGATCATATTTCACAGCGGAAGCAAACATAGCATCATAATCACGTGTAATTTAAATAATTAGCACATACGGAGATTATACGAGTTAACTCTTGAAGCGTGAACGAACAAAGCAAATCGATATCCTTCTCCAGTTCCAGAATTGCAAGACCTAAGCAACCTTTCACAGTCTTCTACTGTGTTACCTAAATAAAAATCGAAAAACAGAGAACTTCGGGTGGGTGAAATTCAAGGAAGAAAAACGTGTGTTTTTTTTCTGTGTCAAAAGCGACGAGCTATATACCATATATATATAGCTGCGCTTTTTAGGTCAAAACACTTTTTCAGAACCTGTTAGGTTTTCTTCTTCCATCAAGGAAAGGTTTCCTTTATTTCCTATTATTTAGGCACAGTAGAGACTACAGAATTTAATTAACAAGGCTTCCTATTATGGAATTAATTTCGAAATTTGAAATTAATTTCTATCATAATGAATTACGAATTATTCCACTAAAAATTCGTAATTGCACTCCTTAGTTCAATTTTGAAATTCTTCCATAAAATCTTATTTAACTCCCTTGTTAAAATTCAGATACTAACCGATCGAATTAAATTATTGACTATTTAATTTATTGATTACTTCTTTTAGACTTACACTTAACTTATTTTACGTGTTGGATATAAAATTCACCGGCCGGGTTTACACACGAAAACTTGTAAGCTTTTATAAAGGATTATCATCAATCTCAAAATCGAGACATGGATTCCATTAACTAATTATTACTTCGTCAATGTATATCATTGTTATCCAATTTACCAGGCTTATTGACTCACGAAAGAATCTCGCCTTTTAATAAATCAAAACAACAAGTGACATAAACATCTAATAATAATTAAATCAAGATTAAGAGTATAAGTACATTAAATGGACTAGAGAAATTATTTTATAAAGTCAATATAAAATACTTATCTCTACTTGATCCGTTCAATACATACAAAATGTATTAGCACAAGAAGTTGGAATTAGACCTATTCCCATAATCAAGTTAACTTACATTTAATCTTGTACTACAACCACTCCGATGATTTGTCCAATTCCATCATTAGATTATGAACATTAACTTTAATGTCTTACAAGAACAGATGATTTAATCTTCTGTGTATAAGCTAAACTCTATACACTAAATCATCTACTATGTAAGCAATGGACACACAAACCAATACATGATCTATTTAAAAGGAAACTTTATGGAATTTAAACAAGTAAATAAATAATTGGCCTTCAGAACACTGCTGCAGATTCTGAAGGCCACTCTGGCCGCGGTCCTGGCGTAACTGCGGTAGGACCGCGGCAGAACACTGCTACAGATTCTGAAGGCCACTTTGGCCGCGGTCCCGGCGTAACCGCGGTAGGACCGCGACATGACGCGTATGGTTTATAGTATATTCTAACAATCTCCCACTTAGACTAATAACCATGCTTTTACAATTTTGACACCCATTCCTTCTACATGCTTATCAAAAGTCTTCTGTGGTAAGCTCTTAGTAAACGGATCCGCCAAGTTGTTCTCTGACGCAATCTTGGTGACCACTACATCCCCTCTCTGCACTATATCACGAATTAAATGATATTTACGCTCAATGTGTTTTGCCCTTTTATGATTTCGTGGCTCCTTTGAATTTGCAACCACACCACTATTATCACAATAAAGTGTAATTGGCGCTTGAATCGAGGGAACCATGCCCAACTCTCTCAGGAAGTTACCGAGCCAAACTGCCTCTTTGGCTGCCTCAAAAGCTGCCACATATTCTGCTTCCATGGTGGAATCAGCAACACAAGTTTGCTTGATACTCCTCCAACTTATGGCTCCACCTCCAAGAGTAAACACATTACCTGAGGTAGACTTTCTAGAATCTCTGTCTGATTGGAAATCCGAATCAGTATACCCAATAGGTACAAGGTCATCAGAATGGTAGATCAACATATTTGATACTCCTCCAACTTATGGCTCCACCTCCAAGAGTAAACACATTACCTGAGGTAGACTTTCTAGAATCTCTGTCTGATTGGAAATCCGAATCAGTATACCAAATAGGTACAAGGTCATCCGAATGGTAGATCAACATGTAATCCCTAGTCCTTTTCAGGTACTTGATTATATGTTTAACCGCCGTCCAATGCTCTTTCCCAGGATTAGACTGAAATCTGCTAACAACGCCAACGACAAAGTAGATATCAGGCCTAGTGCATAACATAGCATACATGAGGCTCCCCACAGCTGATGCATAAGGGACCGCCTTCATCTTTTCTATCTCTTCATCAGTCTTAGGAGACTAATCTTTTAGATAGAGAAATTCCATGTCTGAAAGGAAGAAATCCTTTCTTGGAATCATGCATGCTAAACCTGGAGAGTATTGAATCAATATAAAGACTTTGGGACAAGCCTAATATCCTTTTCTTGCGATCTCGCAAGAGTTTGATCCCAAGGATATGAGCCGCTTCTCCCAAATCTTTCATATCAAAATTTGTAGATAACCACTGCTTAACTGAATTCAACATGCCCACATTGTTTCCTATGAGCAGTATGTCATCTACATATAAGATCAAAAATGTCACTTTGTCCCCATCCCACTTTTTGTATACACAAGACTCGTTGAGATACTGATCAAAACCAAATGTTTTAATCGCCTTGTCGAGACAAGTGTTCCATGCCCTAGATGCCTGTTTCAGTCCATAAATGGACTTTTTAAGTTTACACAACATGTGTTCCTTGCCACTTTCCACGAAACCGTCTGGTTGCATCATATAGATGCACTCATCAGGACTTCTATTAAGAAAGGCTTTGACATCTATTTGCCAAATCTTATAATCATAATGAGCAGCAATGGATAAGAGAATCCTTATAGACTTAAGCATGGCTACCGGCGAGAAGGTTTCCTCATAATCGATCCCTTTTTTCTGAGTGAACCCTTTCGCTACAAGCCTTGCTTTAAAAGTTTGCACTTTTCCGTCTACACCTCTCTTTTTCTTATAGATCCACTTGCATCCAATGGGTTTAACCCCATAAGGTGGTTCTACAAGATCCCAGACTTGATTAGAGTACATTGACCCCATCTCTGATTTCATAGCGGCAACCCACTTATCGGCATCTTTATCATGTAGTGCTTGGTCGTAATTGACAGGTTCGGAAGTATGCTCCTCAGGGATCCTATCATATGATTCTCCCAAGAGCGTATAACGAAGTGGCTGTCTTATTACTCTCCATTACGACTACGCACTACATCACTTGCAACTATACCATTTTGATTCTGTGGTTGAACCACAATCTCATCAGGAACCTGAGTCTCCATGCTATCCAAAAGGATATCAATGACTTCTTCCTGTTGTGCAGTTTGCTCTACATAACTCCCACTACTTTGTGGTAGTATGACTTCGGGCACTTGTTTTTGCGAGACATTAAGTCTATTGACATTTCTCCCACTACTAAAATGCAATGGTATGTCAAATCTGACTTCGGAGTTTTGTATATGGTCGTTTTGTTTATCAGATGACTGAGTTTCCATTCCTTTGCTTAGTTCCTGTAAAACGATTTTACTTTTAGGAACATGATTTACCAAATAGCCCTCTTCAAGAAACTTGGCATTTGTGCTAACAATTACCTTCTTTTCTTGAGGACAATAAAATAAAGCACCTTTCGTTCCTTTTGGATAGCCTACAAACATGCATACATCTGTTCTTGCCTCCAATTTATCCGTTTTCCCTTTTAGCACATGTGCCGGACAACCCCAAACTCGAATATGCCGCAAACTAGGCTTGCGCCCAGTCCACAATTCTGCAGGGGTCAAAGGTACTGACTTTGAAGGAACTAAATTCAGAATGTAATTTGTTGTTTCTAAGGCATGTCTCCAAAAAGACGCTGGCAAACTGGAATAACTCATCATTGATCTAACCATTTTCATAAGAGTCCTATTTCTCCTTTCAGCTACACCATTTTGTTGTGGTGTTCCAGGTGCAGACAATTGAGATGTTATCCCACATTCTGATAGATAACCAATGAATTTCGCAGAGAGGTATTCCCCACCACGATCAGATCGTAATGTTTTGATATGTTTATTAAGTCGTTTTTCAGTCTCAGCCTTAAATTCCTTGAATTTTTCAAAGCATTCAGACTTACGACGCAACAAATAGACATATCCATATTTTGAGTAATCATCAGTGAAAGTCACAAAATACTCAAAACCACCTCTTGCCTGGACGTTCATTGGACCACACAAATCAGAATGAATTAATTCTAATTTATCACTTGCTCGATTTCCTTTTGAGGGGAAATTTCGTTTTGTCATTTTTCCTTCTAAACAGGATTCACATGTTGGTAGTGCCTCCACTTTCAATGAACTTAAAGGTCCATCCTTGACCAACCTTGAAATTCTGTTTAGATTTATATGACCCAAACGCAAGTGCCATAAATATGTTTCACTCAATTCAAGAGAACGTTTTTTCTTATTTGGTAAATCAATATAATTCAGTTCTTTAGAGTGTAACGGTTTAGGTATAGAGTCAACTACAAAAAGACCATCAATCAATGTAGCCGAAGAGAGATAACGTTTATTATGAGTAATAACACATTTATCAATGTCATGACAATTAAAATCATAACCATCTCTCATAGTGCTAGAAACCGAAATTAAATTCCTTCTAACGGAAGGTACATATAATGTGTCTTTTAAAGCTAAAACTCTACCACTACCAAACGAAATACTAATATTTCCTAATGCTAAAGCTGGGGCTGCTGAACCGTCTGCTTGATAAACATTGATTTCTCCTCTACTTAGCCGCCGCGTTACCTGAAACCCCTGCAAATAAGTGCAGATATGATTAATGGCTCCCGAATCTGCACACCATGACATGGTAGAAACAACCGCTAAAAATGTTTCAACGACAAGTAGATGTAAATCACCTGGTTTATTTTTCAGCTTGGCCAGATAAGTTGGACACTGCTTCTTATGATGCCCAGGCTGCTTGCAATGA